CTAGATCTGCCACTAAGTCCCTTTCTTCCCTCGCCCTCACCCGAACCCCCCCCCCCCCCTACACACACACACACACACACACACACACATTTGGATTTCCAATTTTCCCAAACCACGGTTTCCATCTTCTACATTATTGCTATTATATAATATCAATGATTATGAATAACGATAATTACCTGCACAGGTGTGAAGATTACTTGAACAGGTGTGTTATATGTGAAGTATCTTACCTCTTTCCTCCGGAAATATCCCAGGACCATATTAGCCAATCCTAAAGACAGGCCCATGAGGGTACGTTCTTTTCCTCGTAGTCCGGGGGACGACATTGCGTATCTCCCGAGAAAATTTCACCCCCTCCTAACGCCAATATGTCTCTCATCGGTCCTGCCTGTGTCGTACATTCTCAGGTGTCACACCATACACACCTGTTTGTATCACCTCACATCGGACAGAACTGTCTCCATCAAATCAATAAGACAGGTGAATCCGGGTGTCTCAAACTGTTCTTGGACATGTAACACTTCAGGAAGGTATCTACCACCGAATTGTAAACAAGAAAGTGGCCAATATTGGCTGTTATCACACTATTCTGTACACACAAGTAGTAGGAGTTTACACCAGATATTACAGGTAATATAACACTATATAGGAGACTGCATACTTATCCAACAGAGACTCGCTGACCTAAAACTGTCTTCTACCGTCCTTTATATAATTACCTATATACGATGCTTTACACAGGTAAAGTGTTTTGCATAAAAAACGTAATAATCACGCTTTCTACTTACTCCAACTCCTAGTCTCATCATCGTGGCGCGATCTCTCCCTCTCCCCGGGAGCAAACACCTGCAAATCTAGTGTGGGGTCGAGGAAATACAAAGAAAGTACAATACATATGAAATTGTCCATTAAATTGCCCTCTTTAATACGGAAAGTTCACAGTCTAGTTGGTACACTATACATAGAACAGAAATTTACACATAAATTTAACTTAGTAGTCTTCTAGGACGATGAATCAATCCGACATAATGTTCAGTACTAGCGGCCTTCTAGGACGATGAATCAATCCGACATTATGTTCAGTACTAGCGGCCTTCTAGGACGATGGATCAATCCGACATAATGTTCAGTACTAGCGGCCTTCTAGGACGATGAATCAATCCGACATAATGTTCAGTACTAGCGGCCTTCTAGGACGATGAATCAATCCGACATAATGTTCAGTACTAGCGGCCTTCTAGGACGATGAATCAATCCGACATAATGTTCAGTACGCGTAGAAAAGTTACTTAGATATGACCAATTGTTCAATTTTATTCGATTTATAAAAAAAAATAACTGGTATAAGCAGGAGTTCGTGTGCTCCTTTTGAAATGTTCCTTTGACAACGTATGCTCCCATCGGGCTTCACAGCATGACTCGTGGATTAGAAAACATCAAAGTCAGGCATCAGCTCAAGACTGCATGCCACGTTTTAATTCATTCGAATAATGACACGGTTCACAATATACACATGAAGTTGACGTTGTTATACAGATATAAATCTATGAAGATTACGAAATTCATTTAATCACGGACTTGTATATTAGATCTATATTTAAGTCCGTGATTTAATTATGGGGCTAGTTCACCTCACCATCTAGGTTTTGACTTTTCTTTCTGTCATTTTGAATTTTCGTCAGTCGCCTCCTCGGATTCCCAATTTAGGCCCTTAGCATCACTGACAAGTCCTAGAATGACGAAACAGGTACGGTGCATTTTATTCGTTGTTTGGCTCTACTGTACTCAAAATCTGTATTGAAAGTTGCTATTCACTTGTGCGTTTTATGTACAGTCTCCTGAGTACTTTTATGTTATGATATGTAATTCAATAGATTTTCATATCCACAGGTAACTGCCGATCCTGCTAAACCATTGAAATTTCCCCAGACAATCATGTAGACTTTTCTAATCACATGTACTCAATGCTGTTTGTTTCGTTCAAGAGGACGACATTCAGCAATTTTACTGAAAGAGCAGCAATGACGGTCTCCATGATAGACTTAAATGAGGACCAGAATAAACAATGCTGTGGTGCCTGCACTATTAAGAAGTAAGTACGATTAAGACAGGCGTTCTCATGTCATGGATAGCGCCCAGATTTTATGTTTTCGTCGCATCAACTTATACAGATAACAATTTTGTATAACACGGATTTCATCACGCATGACTAAGGATGCTCTTTATCTTCTCACGAGCTTGTTTATTTACTTAGGTACATAAATGTGTAGATGTGTCACTTCTAGTTAAAACCACATTTGATTCAATAGATAAAAATTTGTTACGTTTTATTTACAGATTTAAAACCAGATTTTACGATATTTAGTTTACCTAGCTCAATCGACCGTAAACTTTTGTTTGTAGAACATGGGAAAACACAGGAAAATCGCAATTTAGTAAATAAAATCAATATAGAGTTTTTAAACCTGATTATGTAAGTGCGTATGTAGTTGAAGCGTGTAACAATAAAGTATAGGTTAAATCATTTCTGTGGGCAAATCAGTAATCCCATTTCATTCCTCGAGTTAATAGTACTATGAGACTTTACAGTAGAAATTAATTCGTAGTAGAAGTGGTGGTAATGTAGACACCCATCACGCCCATACTGCAGACATCCCTAAAGTTTTTGGCATGACTAGCAGAGATGACCTTTTAAAATTCTTTCTGAAAAGATTGGCTGGAGCATGAATTTGGAACTATTCTATGGCAATGCCTCCGAGCAAGAAAGTTGCGACCATCAAGTCTGCTAAAAACTGCCAATAACCACAGGTCCCAAAAAGTCTGATCGTTTTACAGCCATGTCCGTATCCCACCGAAATAGCGACGATCCATAATTTTAAAGGTTTACGCGTTTGAAGTGAAACCTATGTATTACAAGGATTCTCGAAATAACTGACTTTTATTGGCGTTAATTTCTCTTCCCTATTACAAACTATTGCTTTGGCACATCAAGCTTTGACGGAACAAGTCTACATATCTACATACCAGATTCGTTGGCAGCTCTATCGTCTTCACTACCGTGCCTTCATCAAAGCAAAGAACAGAGATGATATGTTGGTCTTTAAGACAAATACGAGCAATGAAGGAGCCAATCGAAGGATAGGTAAGACAAAAGTATATAAAGCTATCATTCAACTGTTACATGCAGTTTGTCAGTTCAGTAACCTCCAATTCACCAACAACACTTCTCTCGAGCAGGAAACAGACAATACGACCAGAAAGGCGGAAATAACTCCGACTGAAGATCATGGGAAGTGGGACACCAAAGGTCGTCACAAGTTCTATGTCATTGTTGTTTGCCAGCAAGACAACCTAGATAGGACAGGGGAGACAACTCATTTTTAATCTGGAAACCACATCGCTATTGATTTTATGGGAAAAGGCCACGAGTCTTAACAAATTTCTTACCCCAGGGAAAAGTTTTTTAAACAAAAGAAATTCATGATATAATGCAAGAAAGACAACTCTTACTAAAGTAAAGACTCGAACAAGATTCAGCAGTACAATCTTTTAATGTATTTTTTCTCACAACTTTAAATGCAATTACATCTCAACGTAACAAACTTTCTTGCTATTAATGAGCACTCGTAAAAAAAAAAGATTACATTAATCCAGTTCATAAAAATGTTTACAGAACAATTACTGATTACTTGTTGACTGAGAGAATTTTCTGTATTACACATGTAACTCTGGTAAAATACCAGCCTCAAAAATCGTTTGGCAAGAGAGAACTTCTCTTTAGCTTGATCTGTTGAGTGTCAGAAATCCTGGGTTCTAATCCTAGCAGAAGCATTGAAATAAATAATGACCGCAGTAACACATTCTTTGAATAAACTGCACTGACTTTAAATCAGAACTCTGAAGCTATTTTCAACCCGAGGACATATTTCTCATTAGAAAGAAGCTTTCATATAAATGATATTAAGTATTTGTTATATTGGTCCTTGAAATGATTGAAAATACTTAAAGATCTCTCTGAAAGACTTTTGTACTTGATTTACAAGGCAATCCAGCTCTAAACAATAAATAAGTATAGTTCCAGATTTTCATCTGTAAGTGAAACTGTAGTTTTGTCCCCCATAAATATTTTTAACAATTTCCAACATCTTTTTAGAACAGTACATATATAGCTAATGGGATGAGAGAGGATGCAAGTTGATTCACTTCTTATTTGTAAATAAGGCATTATCTGAAATATATTTTTAGGATATATCTTCAAATTTTGTAATGTAGATATTCTCCATGTCAAAAATTGGACAGGCAGCCAAATAAATGAAAAGGATAAAACATCTATAATATTGATAAAGCCAAAACAATTACATTCCCTGTTACACAAGTGAAAACAATTTGTGTAGGAAGACATGAAACATTCTGGTCAGTATGATAACAGGATTGTCCTCAGAATATGTATTGATTTTTTACAAAAAATTATGGACAAAGTTTGGTAACAAAAATTAAAATACCGAAAAAATAATGTAATTAGTTGAGAAGAAAATTTGACATTTTGACAGTATACAATAAGCTGATAAGACGTAATAAAAATTAACATTTCACAAGGCTCAAGGTAATAAATAACGGAATTGAATTGTACATATACATCACCGTGTAACAAAGTGCAAAATATCAGTGAGAACCAACTCCGACAAAATAGAAATGTCTCCAACTGCCTTGACATAAAAATTGAGACTGGTAGCTAGTTATATACCTACACTCAGAATTGGTGGTAATGCATGTAAGTGGAATGCTCAATGCAGGCTCTTGAAGGCTTACAATAAAAATTCTAAAATGTGCTACTATTTTATAATCATGTATCACTTAATTGGAGATAGTCATAAGTACACTAAGGCTACATCTCTGATCTGGTAGTTAATTCATAATAGATATATAAATAATTCATTTTTTAATCAAACAAATCTATCTCAAATCATTACTTCTTTATCATAATATTTGATCTGGTATATAATAATGGTGCAATGATCCATCAGTATATAAATAAGAGTCACAAGAACTTATAGCAATTATCATCTTGTCAAATTTGTTATAATGTAATAACTGTCTTAGTGTAAGGGTGCTAATTTCCTTGAAAACTGACAATTTTTTGCTACTGTCATTTCCTTTTCAGTGCATGAATGCATGTGTAAATATATCTTCTACTCAACATGAGCCACCAATTGGATAGTTTGGTAACACCCAGTGTTAACTCCTTCCATACTGTCAATTCTGGTAAGCGTAATTGGAAATGGTTCTCCTGCTGGGTTTGTGATGAAGATTTGTTGCTCGCCGCTACTACTATCATCAACCTTACATTGTGCTGTGCTCATAGTGTTCTCAACATGCACAATGTTTGGTATCACTTCGCCATCACCAAGTTCCTCAAAGTTTATTGTTTCTCCTGGAACCACACTTTTTTGATAGTCATTTAATCTAAACCTCTTTTTCGGCAATTCTCCCTCTCCATGCTGTTTTAACATGTGGTCTTTGAGCTTGTCGTAGCGGGTTGTGGAGAACACACATAATTTACACTTATATTGACGTGTATTTGTGTGAAGTAACATATGTCTCTTCATATTTTTCACCAAAGAAAAACTTTGTCCACATATTTCGCACTGGTGAGGTTTTTCATGGGTATGTGTTAACATGTGATATTTCAGGTTTTGTCGCTTTGTTGCTTGAAATGTGCAACCCGGAACTTCACACTTGTATGTGTTACCAGTATGTATCAGTCTGTGTGCTTTCAGCTGGCTCTTGTGTGCTGTGGTGAACCCACAGATATCACAAAGATGGTCCTTTGTTTGACTGTGAGTAATCATGTGGTTCTTCAGTGCATGCTTCCATTTAAAGCCAGCATTACACTCTGTGCAAACAAATGGCTTATTGTCTAAGTGTTTTGGAAGATGAATATTTAGTTGAGTTTTCGTTTTGAATTTGGTTTCACAAAACTGACAAAAATATGGATATTGTCCAGAATGTTTTTCCAGATGTTCTTTCAGGATTTGTTTGTCATCAGCTTGGAAATCACAGAAACTACACTTGTTGGCCTCATGCAAATGGTTTCGATGGTGATTAGTTAGAACTTTAAGCCGAGGAGTGGTGAAGTCACATTTGTCACATTTGTATTTCGAGCTTGCATTCATATGGGATGAGCGATGTCGTCTGAAATGATACATGACTTCAGAATTGTAAGGGCAATCCTGGCATTCATAGACTTCTCTCCCAGATTTAGTTTTAGAAACATTGTAACAAACCATGGGACTGTCAACATAATTTTCAAAATATTTTGGTCGTTTGCCACGAACTCTTCGTATTGGTCGACCATCTGGTGTGCTTTCAGGTACATCTTCATCTATGTTCGTAGTTTCAAATTTGTCTTCATCATATGTCAGTATTTCTGACTGGATAGCATCTTTAAACACATCTTCCTCAGTCTCTGAATTAACTTCCTCCTTTTTATGATTTTGCTCATACACGTTCTTCAACGCTGTCCCTTCCTTCAATTCATGTTGATCAGATTCTTTTGGAATATCTAGTGGTGCGATGGCTTCCGTTTTCCTAGGTCTACCTCTTTTCCTTTTTACTAATGGTTTCGGTGGTTGTTCAAGGTTTTCATTTGTGCTGCTTGGATCGGGGTCAATATGATGGGAGTATGTCACAGTTGTCTGAGTATTTGCGTCACTTGAACTGGCTTGAGTTTCTTTTGAATTCACACTATCTTCCCCTCGCTGGAATAGATCACAGAATTCCAGGATTTTGTTCATTTGCATAATTTTGGCGATTTCCAAAACAGGAGTCAAAACATTATAGTTCAAGAGAATACTACTTGTGTACATGTAATCTACCACTCTGTGCACAGCGTCTCCGTATCCACTATCTCCATCACTACCATCAATGTGAATTTCGATGATCTGGGGATTTTTTTGGGAAAATGCCCGTGGTGAATCCTGCCCCAGCCCAAGGAAGGACGCAAAATAAGGACTTGCTGCGGCCAAAACATTTGAATGGGCAAATATTTGATCACCACATACTTTCAGGATGACATCACAAAACCTTGATTCACTTCTCTGTCCATTCAATTCACTGAGTATCGCCGAAAGCTGATTTTCATCTCCGAAGGACGCCTTCCTGTCTTCTCCTGACGCCATTTTGAAAATGACAACGGAATTTCATTGCAATTCAATTGGAGGAAAATATTTTAAGTTCTTTAAAAAATGTGTTATATACATATAGTTACTTATTTTATAAACCGAGTAGTTATTACTCATAGAATAAGTAGGAGAAATGATTTGAATTCCTTTAACTTAGGGAAATTATGTTTAGCCACATTGACCGCTCCCATTTCAATCCATTCGAATCTACTTTCGTTTTTGCGAGTTTTGGATAATAAGCCTAAAGGTGTTCCGAAAATATACTAATCGTAGAAAAGGAGTTATCCCCTGAGTTAACAAAATATAAACTTCCTGTTTCTGCTGTCAGATGAGAACAATGTTGACATTTGTTTATATTTGTACACTTTCCTAAAAGTATGGCTTCTCTTCTGAGGAAGGACCAAATGAAAAATAATTTGGAGAGGGCATGCATTCATCGAGATGATGTCCAGGATCTCGTGTTATTGGATGAAAGTGATGCTTTTCCTGAAACAAACCTCACTCTGGAAATAGAAGACAAAGAGGAAGATGCAAAAAGTGTGTGTCAAGTATAAGTTTTGGACAGCGCCAAATTTTGTGTAAATGTTGTGATATTTATTTTAACACAATCCAAAAGATTAGGTATGGAAATTTCGGAGGAATTTAATATCGCCTTAGACAGTGAAAAGCCCCCTCCTAGCACTGAGGAAGTTTGTCTAGGGCCAACGAAAAAACATGGACTAAACCTTGTGTGTGTGTTTCCCACTCATGAAAAATATCAAAGTTTAAAACTTGATGAACCATATCTTCATATTTTTATTTGTAACCTTTTTGTCACCTTTCTCAATTTTGTGCACTCTATTTCTAAGTTTTAAATAATAAATACAGTAGTGTTTACAACTATGATACGTCTTCAAACATTTCAAATTAAAGAAGTAAATACCACACCTTAAGATGCAACACAATTATTAAAGTTGACCAGCCTATACAATGCAGTATATTTTTTTTCACATTATACATTATATATTCACAAGTATACCAGAGTTGTTCCTGAATGGAACCACAATGTACTTTAGGAGCAAATTATATTTTCTTGGCAAATTACTGCTTTTTCATTAATGAAATGAATGAAATAATTAAAACAGTGAGGAAATGGCTCATATTATCAGATAAAGACCTTTTATTTCACTGCTAAACATTTAGTAAAGAGACATGTTTGATATTTAAAGACAAAAAAACTTTAATTGACGTTGAGGTGCACAATGATGCAGGGACTGGGTATGAAGATACATATGTGTAGGATCTAGCTAGTTACATATTGGTACTACAGTGATGAAATGTGTTTCATACAGTAAACAGTTCAAGAGATATATACATAGATAGACTGTTAAACATAATATTCTATTATTGTAGGCTTGGCCAGCCCTGCAGGATCAGTGTCATTTGAAGGTGATTTCCCTGGGACAGGCATGGTTAGTTTTGATGTGATATCAGCGGATAAAATCAAAGATGGGCGCTCAAGCTTTGTGGTAGGTACATGTTCTTTGAAACATATTAAAAGTTCTCATAAATATCTACACATTATTTCAAAGATGTAACCGTGGTAAAAATACTAGCCTCAATTTAAATGTAACTTTCGGCAAGAGAGAACTTGTCTTTAGCCATTCTGTTGAGTGTAAGACTATTGAATCAGATGTCCTGGGTTAGAGTCCTAGCTGAGACATTGATATAAGTTCTTTAGTGATACTCCAGTGTACTGATATATATCTAATACAGCTCCTTATATGTATTTACTTGTGTTGTGCTTAAATCTGAATCGGCTTAAAATTCAATAGTTTTTTTATCTCACCTGGTGTGAACAACCAAGGATAGGGGAAATGGAGTAAATTCTGTAAAAACCTAATCCTGCTGATTCATTCTTGGGTGAAAGGGAATTAATTTTGTGTAGATGGTGATTATTGTTCCTCTGGGGCAGGATGGGCAGCAGTAAATAGGGGAAATGGATTCAGGTGTTTTCAATACTTTTCCTCTAATTTAAATCAATCAGTTTCAGCAAACTAAACCAAGTGAGTGATACAGGCCCTATAGTCCTCTTGTTTGAGCGATACTCCATTTTTAACTGTACTAAAACTTTTCAGCTCCTTATTGATACTTCAGGTGCACTAATTCAAAATTAGATTTTCCAGTTTGTGGTACATATGTTACTCACATGTTGCTAAAATTAGATACTGATGTTCCAGGTGTGTTAAGATCTGATACAGCTCTACAAAAGTGCACATGCTAATATAGAATGCAGCTCCATACATGTTAATATCTGAGGTACCTGACATGTGGTGTTATTAAGTTTCATCATGTAAATGACCTTGACCTATTTTCATTGCCAAAGTGGTCAATATGTTGACCTAATATTTGATCAGCATATTTGATAGAGTGCTATATATTGAATTTTTCTCAAATGAATTACCTTGACCAATTTTTTAAGGCCACATGTGTCTAATATGTGAAAAAAATTTTGATGATTTTAAGTTCAAGTTTTGTCAACCCCAGCTGATTACTGCTAATTGGCCAGTTAAGAAACAAAATGTTTTTGATAAGTTTGATAAGATCAAGATACTGATGATGCCTTGTTTCTTCATATGAATGACCTTGATCTATTATAAGGCCTCTATTGCATGTGTTAAAAACTTTTAAGAATTTTATATAAGACCTAAGGTAATATTTGATGAACAGATACAATGTACCTGAGATAGAACTAACTGGTGTTGGGCCTTTTCTTAATAGATATGGTGATTTATATATAAAAGAAAAATGGAATTCAGTTTGAAGATCTTTTTATTTAAACACCTTATATGACTGTTAGGTTACTAGCTAGCTGTGGTTGGTCACTATTTCAAGTTCATTGACTGAAGTCTTCTGATTGCTATTGTTTGGTCACTGTAACATTCAGTCTTCTACTGTTTGTCCACAGTCTCCTGCTGATTCTAAAATTCAGAAAGTTGGTTCATTGATCGTAATCCAGCAAGTAAAGATTGAAATTCCTGAATTGCCTATAGCTAGTAATTGTTTGCCTTTGTTGTATTTGACAGAAGTACACAATATTGGTGAGCAGTCATAACAAGATTCAGAAGGTTCCTGGTACTGTGGAGAAAAGATACTCTGATTTTGAAAAATTGAATGTGTGTCTTCGTAAACGTTTTCCAGACCTGATGGAGGAAGTATCATTTCCAGGAAAATTGTTGATGGGTAACTTTAAAAATGAAACAATAGCTCGTCGAAGTCGTGCCTTTGAACAGTATCTTACTCACCTTTTCTCTATACATAAGGTCAGATTCTCGCCTGAATTTGTCTCATTTTTCTATGAGGAAGATCTGAGAGAGGGTTATGCTGCCATGGAGAGGGGATGTTACTCTGATGCTATTTCCATTTTGGAAAAGTGCCTGCCAGTTCAAGAGAAGTTACAAGGCGACTGGCATCCTGACGTGGTTGGGACACTTTGTAGTCTTGTGATTTGCTATCATGCCATTGACAAGATCAGCATGGCACTTAAGTATGCAGACTCTGCTCTTTTATGCCTTCAAGGCAATAGGAGTGATAAACATTATCTCCCTTTGCTGCACCTCGATATTTATTTCCACTGGATGCAGGGAAAGGACAAAGCTCATCTGGAAGCTAGTCTAGCCCAGCTCCGTAAGGATGGCATTAATACCGAAAAAGACATCAATCTGAAGGCCGTGGTACTGGACAGGTTTAAAAGTTGACATTCCGTTTGTAAGATATACCGTAAAATCAGAATGTTTTGTGAGGCTCAGTTTTGGCGGTTTTCATTAAATGACTATTTCATGGACATTTGAATTCAGTGATAGATAGAGCTCAATAAATCTGCATCTACTAGTATTAACAGTTCATAGATCCTTGTAATGTGGATGATGATGAAGCTGTGTGATTAACTGTCTTAATACATGTTAAGGATATACAGGCAATATTGTGGCTTACTGATGAAAATTGTTACTTTAAACACATTCTGAATGTTTGTTAGATTATTTTCAATTGTCAGTATCTGTCATCAGAGGAAAACCAGTGTTCTTGATTACGTCTCTGGTTGGTTGGCAGGTATATGGTCCCATGTCAGGATCTAGATCTCTTTCAAGAGCTGAATAGTATACTCCCTGGCAGGGATCATGGAAATATATAACTTAGCAAAGCAATGGTCATTTCATGAACCTGACAAAAGATTGGAATAGGTGCCAGTTATTTCATGAATTAGTTTTTCCTGCTGGTTTGAGTCACTAGAATGGTGCTTTTGCTGTGATTTTTAGCAGTATGTTAAGTTTTGTGTTCAATAATAGGAGAGTTTTACCTATTTTTCACTCCAGATCTGGAAAATTTATTGAACATTTGCTTGATAATAGTTTGCATATATGATACATGTATATATATATATATATATATATATCATTGTGTTCGATCTGTTTCTTAGTCGTGGCTGGAATTGTGAGAATTCTTGTCGTTTCGTTTCTACAGCTGTAAAATGACACAAATGATAATATATATCTGGATTAAACTAGTTACATTGTTTACATTGGTAATAAGTATGGACTCTCATTGAATCAATAAACAATTACAATGTGTATAAATATAGTCATCTGATTTGCATAATAGGGACAAGAAGCAATAATGTTGCCCAATACCTCAGAATTTTGTGCTTTAAACTAATCAATGTTTTAATTATCTGTTAATCATATATTGAGATTATAGTCAGTTTATTGTCTGGATGCAACACATGGTATACTTGGACCATTTTTATTTCCATTCTTAATAGAGAGGTTTCTGATTACAAAAAGTCGTTTTACATAGAAGTGTGTTTAGTAGGACACAATTCTGTTGTACTAAATGGATGTAATAGACATTGATAGGGATTGTAGATCTGTAAAAAAAGTCATCGAGAAGTGGAACAAGATGCGGGACTGGATTAATTGGTGTGAAAGTAAATAAACTATTTGTCCTACCCTTACTGGACATAGAGCTTGGTCGGTGTGATAGTAAATAAACTATTTGTCTTACCCTTACTGGACATAGAGCTAGATTTGTTTGATAGTAAATAAACTATTTGTCTTAGCCTTACTGGACATAGAACTTGATTTGTTTGATAGTAAATAAACTATTTGTCTTACCCTTACTGGACATAGAGCTTGATTTGTGTGATAGTAAATAAACTATTTGTCTTACCCTTACTGGACATAGAGCTTGGTCGGTGTGATAGTAAATAAACTATTTGTCTTACCCTTACTGGACAAAGAGCTAGATTTGTTTGATAGTAAATAAACTATTTGTCTTACCCTTACTGGACATAGAGCTTGATTTGTGTGATAGTAATTTAAATATTTGTCCTGACCTTCCTGGACATAGAGCTAGATTGGTGTGAAAGTAAATAAACTATTTGTCCTACCCTTACTGGACATAGAGCTAGGTTTGTGTGATAGTAATTTAAATATTTGTCCTGACCTTCCTGGACATAGAGCTAGATTGGTGTGAAAGTAAATAAATTATTTGTCCTACCCTTCCTGGACATAGAGCTTGATTGGTGTAAAAGTAAATAAATTATTTGTCCTACCCTTCCTGGACATAGAGCTTGATTGGTGTAAAAGTAAATAAACTATTTGTCCTACCCTTACTGGACATAGAGCTTGATTGGTGTGAAAGTAAATAAACTATTTGTCCTACCCTTACTGGACATAGAGCTAGGTTTGTGTGATAGTAATTTAAATATTTGTCCTGACCTTCCTGGACATAGAGCTAGATTTGTGTGAAAGTATATAAACTATTTGTCCTACCCTTACTGGACATAGAGCTAGGTTTGTGTGATAGTAATTTAAATATTTGTCCTGACCTTCCTGGACATAGAGCTAGATTTGTGTGAAAGTAAATAAACTATTTGTCCTACCTTACTGGACATATTTGTCCTACCCTTACTGGACATAGAGCTAGGTTTGTGTGATAGTAATTTACATAGAGCTAGATTTGTGTGAAAGTAAATAAAGTATTTGTCCTACCTTACTGGAGGTAGAGTTCGATATTTCATGGAATAATTAAGATAGTGAAATGACAGATTCAAAGTTTCATAATTGAGTATTGGTAACAAATCAGTTTACTTTTAGAAATAGGGAGATTATATGTTGAATTTTTAGATATTTAATGTGTACTTGTCCTTTTGTCATAACGTTTCTTACATTTCTGTTAACAAGGCATTCATAAATGTGAAGGATATATCTGTCCTACTGTAGATATAATTACTTAAACAAATACTCATTTGCTTTTTTCATGGTTTACATTACTCAGACAAATTTATTTTTTTATTTCACTATGTAAGTTATTGCCATTGATAATCAATGCTACTCTATATTAGATTGGTCAAAATTTTCACTAATTTTGAAAAAACATGGAATGATATTTCAACAGATTCAAATTTTAGTTTTAAAGGGACATCTTAAACAAACATTTTTTATTGTTTTACAGATTAAATTTTTGTGATTGCTTTAATAGTGACAGTATCAGCCCCATGAAAATAATGAACAGTATGGTATTTCAGAGATGAATCATTCTCACAAAACAAAACAAAAAACAAAAAACCCCAACACATATTTATCACTACAGCAATTTAATGTAAATCTTGTCTGATTGTTTTGAAATTATCCAGCAGTACAGTTCAGGCTGTTTACTGAATCTCTTTCGTTTTGTTAGTCGTACTATCTAGTCAATTTATGGATCAATTTATGTCTTGTTGAAATATCTCAGTTTATACATGTTGTTTTGTTTATAATTTTGGTGCCAATAATCTCAATAAGTTAAATGTATAATTTACTTTATGTATGATGCAGTTTAACCTTTGTGATAGAAAATATATTATACCTCAGTGTAAACATTGAATGATCAATTACATAGCGGTTTGGAAAAGCACACAAATGGTTTTTGACAGTGTTCACATTTAATAACATGTTTATTGTTATAATAGTAAAATAGTATCTTATTGTTTGTAATTGTTTATAAGTAAACAGATACTGAGGATGGGAGGGTAGAGGCTAAGAGACAAGTTCACCTGACAGTGATTGTACACTGTACTGTCCATTTTCTGTCCGAAAACAAATATGTAATTTCACTAGATTAATTACCAAGTGTAAACATGTTGAAACACCTGCTGTATTTATTAGATAAACTTTCTTCAACATATGACATACTATTTACAGAACCAACGAAGATGAAGTTCACAAGGTTTGTTGTTCCATTAGCACCTATATTTGTCTATATCATAGCTTATAAATTGCTTCAAAGTTCAGAAATAGCTTTAGATGTCATTTCAGCATGAAAAACATATGTCCGATACAACCTTCACAACTTGTGATAAAACCGAGTGTCACACAAACATGATTATATACAATGTAAATTTTAAGATTGTTTATGCCTCATGCTTATCAGCTGTTCCTCTAAATAGATTTCACAATTTCATGTAATGGAACTTGTCAAAATAAATGCAATGCTACTGAACAGTTTTGTGTCAAATACTACAAGTTACCTTGTCCTCTGTTATGTACACATTCCTGTGGTGATTGTGGTATATATGTATAGACACATTGATTTTGACCATTTGTACTTCATGTAACTTTGTGTATATATGTACAAATGTATTTAAATTCATATTGAAATAAAAAGTTTTATACACAATTTTTTTTATTCTGTTTTAGATTTTGATACAGAACCGAATTAATATTGGGATATCTTTCCAATTCAAGGTGTTGGTCAAACACATATTCATTTACCTCTATGTAAAGATAAAAGTCTTGCAGTAGATCTCAGAAGCATATGTTTTGAAAACTAAGTCCCATTTTAGCGGTATCTTCTATGTTTCTTTTAGAGCTTTAAATCCAGCAATTTTTATTGGAGAAAAGAAAAACATATATTCACCCGATTTGTTGTTAGTGGCTATCTTGGATTTTAGACCTTCCAGCTTTAATTCCCAAGAAATTGCTACAGGTAGGGTTCAATTCTCCCTACCTGTTGCAGTCTCTCTCTTTCAGCTGCCTTAAAAAAAAACTGCTGACCTCGTTGTGTTCCTCTGGCATGACACTTGTGCTGAATGGCATGCTATGGGTTGTCCATATGATGTTAGTCACTACTTGCAACAATTAGAGCGTGGCCTTGAAATGACCCTGGCTATTCACAGGGTGATAAACCTAACCAACAAACTTAAAAGATCTATCAAAATACATGGAATGTTGGCTTTCATCAACTCAATGTCATTTGGACCATTTATTAAGTTTTCGCCTACATTACAAACATACCTTTGATCCAGGCAGCCATCTTGAATTTTGGACAAAAAAATATCTCCAGATCATTTTCAAAATTTCAAAACTGAATCCCATCTGATGATGTTGGGCTAAAAAACCTCAGGTGAAGATCTGAGGTAAGTGGTTTGACATTACCTATATCAGTGGCTGTTCATGCGTCTCAGGAAGCTGAGAAATGAAACTAAGCTACTGTGTCTTTGAGCAAGACACGTTACCCTTATTGCAAAGAAAGGCATGAGACAGACCTCCCATATGTTGTTCTGTGAGGTATTCACCAGATACTACAAGGATAACGTCACCTGAAGTGACCTGGCAATATTACCTGGTAGCCAGATGGTCAACTTGAATACCTTTGATACCTGTTAGGTTGAAAGTAATGTCAAGGTTATAAATTTACACAAGCTCCACAGCCCTTTGTTCAAGCATTTACTACTCATCAAATATATTTATTATGCCTCTACCAATGTACATCTCTAGGTTATTGAGAAGTTAAAAAGATTTTAACCATGGCTCTAGTGACATTGAAAGTGTCCATGGGTAAACCAATCAATTCTGTTTATCTTTACATTGACAGTAGGCTGAAGTCATACACTTTTATATACATGTATAACAGAACCCTTCATCACAGCATTCAACTGAACAAATGTCATCACTCTGTGTCTCAGATGATTTATTTATGGGTTGTGAAGAAAGACAAACAACAAGAGTGTGATCTTATAAAATTGTTTATGTAGTGCATTGCATTCCCAATCAGTCCAATAGTTAACAAGTCTTACTAGTACAACAAGAGTGAGCTCCCTTGAAGAATACAATTTCCTGTATGAAGTTAAGCCTATACACATGGTACTCTGTTTTTCTATTTACAAGATGTTAAAGATATGTACAATAATGTATAAATTTCAATATATAGAATCAATATAAAAATTGTACCATAATAACAAAACAGTCAGAATGATAAAATAAAAATTTGCACTCGGAATTAGGTACACAAAAATACACTTATTCTCTGTGATGTAAAAACCTCTCACTTAAATGACACACACATGAACACGAGGGATAATATATATATAAATAACAATAATTGTACCTTGTTACCATACTGTCTATAATAAATCCACTCTTTCCTTGGTATTGTATTGTCTATAACATATCCAGCCTATGTTCTCCTATAATAAGTATCCTTATTACCGTATTATGATCAATTCAGTTTAGGTTGACTCATTTCTTGTTTATTATTCCATGAAAATATGTGTAACACAACACGTTCTTTGACTCAATCATTCAGATATTTGACTTCTGATAGATGAGCCCTGGATGTATTGAACCACTTGACTTTCAATAGACAGGTCCTGAACTGGTCCAGATATTCAAGTCATGAAACTGGTCAAGACACTCTACACTTGATACAGGAGCCTAGAACTGGTTGAGACACTAAAATTTTGATAGTAGACACTAAATACTTGATAGAGGATCATTACCAGTTTGATAAAACAAGTTCAAACACTTCAGGTTTGATAGTGGGTTTCTTAACTTGGCATAAACCACTTAAAATTTTGATAAAAGTGCCCTAAACAAGTTGAAACATGTAACTTTTGATAGAGGGAACCTGTAAAATGGTAAGGGGGGCTCTAAACTGACAGAAAAAAAAAAAAAATGATTGGCTTTGAAACTCACAAACTTTCATGGTTTAATCATAGAAATAGATGTCACTGAGACATACAACTGAACCCAAAATAATACAGAAATAATTACTGTACCTTACACAGCAAAGTATATGGTTGAAATCACATCATCTTATACAAGTATGTTCAAGTTCATTAAATATCATTCAAAAATTGCTACAGTTAAAATCACTTTGATGCACTTCTGATTTCAAACTATTGCACAGCAGCACTTTGTTAATTTATCGATCAACTGATTATGAGAAAATTCTTTAAGAAATATCGTCACTATAGTATTTTTCAACGATGAAAATAAAGATTTTGATGTTTTTTTCGTTTCAGACTGATTCAAAGAAAACAATGAAAATATGGTTTTCTTGTGATTTGCAAATACGATTTCAATGGAACATTTTTGAGGCAGTCTTATGAATCTTTCATTTGGACACACACATTAAAACATACCCTTACACCAAAGTGACCAGAGAAACATCAATCATATATCAAGTTATTTATGTCATATATTGCCTTTGCTCGTGTTTTGGTAGAGATTCATTTGCATGTCAAGTTTTAAAGAATTTTTCAAGTCACTTGAAAATGAGTCAGGAAAAATTAACCTTAAGCTAACACTGGAAAGCTTAAGAAAATTAAGTACCAACTTACCAACTAAAATAATGTACAGATACAACAGCTGTTTACCTGTTTATCAGGTGTGATGTTAATCAATCATCTTATTAGTGAAAATTTTGTTAATTATTTCAGAAATCCAAAAAAAGAGTGGATGTGTTATATGTGGTAAATTGTAGTATATTCATTGTCTTCAGCTGTCATGGATACATGACAGTGAGAATTAGAACCAGGCACATGCTATACATTTGATTCTTTATAGCGGATATTTTAGCAAAATCATCTATACAAATTAGTTTTTAGTTTCTATAC